ACACCAGCCCATTCCATCGACCCACTCAAACCAGCAAAGGAACCCAGCCTCCCATCAGAACCAGACCACACCGCCAGCGACAAAACCAGACAAGCTACTGCCTGGTACCACCGACAGCAACCAACAACCGACTGCCTACATCAAAATTCAATCCAACCGACTGCCCACACCAACAACCGACTACCCACACCCAAACCCAGACCAGCGACCCACAAAACCCCCACTGCCTGCCCCACCGATAGAACCCAGCCAAAAACACCACCGACTGCCCACCGCCTCTTTGATCAATATAACTCATAACCCATAACCCATAACCCAGCCCACCTCAATTCGTCGACCCACTGCCCAGTTCAGCCCCAAACCAGCCCACTCATTAACCCGCTATCGGGTCACGTGTATCTTTTCGTCACAGTGTCGCTATTTTTTCGCGCCACCTTTTTTTTCTAGAGTTGCAATATCTAGGCCTTTTTGAGGAGGCACCAGATCCTTTTCTCCGTTGATCTGCTTTTAATGCAGTAGATCATTTATATTTATTGGATTTCTGGGCACCGTGACTTGATTATTTGGGAGCTTTTTAGACCTTCCTTATTTGTCGCTACTGTTCGACTGAAGGTATATTGTTCTCCCTTATTTTATTCCTCTATTTATCTTAGAGTTATTTTTCTGTCACGGGTGCCCTAGTATTGTTGTTGATATGGCTACTACTGAGGGACTTGAGAACCCTACTGTTGACACCTCTACCGTTGAGACATCTATGGGTACTTCCACTTTTATGTTTGACCAGTATACAGTGCCTACTAGCACAGTTGCATTACCAGCATTACCGGGCATGATCTCTCAAAAAGTTACGGCACAATTGTTGAATGGTCGTAACTTCGCTGAGTGGTCACGCTCATTCCAGCTTTTCTTAGGCCGTGTAGGGAAGCTTGGTTGGCTGACGGGATCTCACCCAAAGCCAGCTGATGCCGACCCTGGATATTCTGCGTGGTTCTCTGAAAACTGTGCCATTCTTGGATGGTTATTTGGCTCAATGGAGCCCTCTGTTTGCAGGATCCACCAGTTTCATAGCTCTGTTCCGAAGCTATGGAGCGCATTATCAGAGATGTATTCTCAGTCAGGACGGGGAGTTCGTGTTTATGAGCTTTCTCAGGAGCTCTCATATGCTCGACAGGGAGATATGACCGTTCAGGATTATTATGGCTATTTGACCCAGCGCTGGCTTGAGTATGAGTCTCTACGTCCTCTTGCTGCTATTCCGAAGATAGAGCCCGAGGGAGCAGCATTCTTGCATACTCGAGAGCAGGAGGATAGGATTCACAAGTTCCTTATGGGGCTTCGTGATGAGTTTGAGGGACCTCGTTCTCAGATCTTGTCGATGTTGACACTTCCTTCTCTTTATGAGGTGTATGGGATGATTGAGCAGCATGAGCGTCGAGTCCGTATTGCATCACTTCCAGTTGCAGCTTTGACTCCTTCGATTGACCAGATGGCCCTTGCAGCTGCTGTAGGGTCCCGTTCAGGATCCTTAGTCAGGGATGGGCAACGCTCAGACCAGCGCCGTCAGGGCGCCCCAGATCAGCGCAGACGGGGGGATTCCCGTCAATGTGATTATTGTGGCCGACCAGGACATCTCAGGGCTACTTGCTGGAAGCTCCATCCAGAGCTTAAGCCACCTTCTCGCAGCCGTACTGTTGCTATTGCTGAGGTACCACCGCCCAC